GCAACCCTGATGAAACCCTAATATTGTTTATTATATAAACGACTCTTCTTTTCAGAAGATAGATACAATCTTTTTTTTTTTGGAAAGGGAACTTCCCTAACGAGGGTTTCCGGGCCAGCTTTCGCGCACCGACTAATCCCCCGCTGCAAACATGAGGCTTTGCTTCTTGCTCTGGAGTTACTGCAGGCGAACCTCCATGGCCACGAAGGCTACGTGTTGCCAGGATTTGAACATGGGTCAATATGTTATCCACCATATCTTCTACATGCCTTACCAAGTCACCACAACCCAAGTGGTTGATACGATCTTAAGCTCTCGTTTTTCATCATACTTTCACAAAATCCTCTAGCATACTGGCTTACGATTTCTGTGCCTAAATCGTAAGTGTCCACTTGGATAATCTTAGGCTGAATTTCTTGTAACCCAGACATAGGGTAGAAATATCAGTTCAGACAGTGATATCACGATCCAAGTTGGTATCCAGATCTCCACCACAAACCCTAAATTTCCCTATAGATATCACTGATTATATCTACACCAAAGCATGTGTAATCCGGAGCAAGATATTGCATACATCCGTCGATACGTTATCATTGTCCTCCACTAGAAACTGGAACGCAAAAAAAACCCGTATACGTACTCATTTCAGAACGTTTCTGGAAAGTATCGAACACACAAATGTATTAAAAACACAAATGTATTGAATATTTGGAAGAAAAACATAGAAAAACCCTAATTCTATCTCTCCGGAACGCCACTCCGGAATGACGTCCGTTCCGGACCTTATCCCCACCAACCGGCAACCATTCCGGAACAATATCATAAATACTCCGGAATATCGTATTCCAGAACACACCTCCGGAACAAAAACATGGTGCTCTGGATATGGTATTACAGATTAAGTAGTCATTTTTCCAAAAAAAAAAATTGTTTATAAGGTTAGATTACTCAATTTACTTATATTTTATAAGAAAAAAAAATATTAAAGATGTATACATCCAAAACAATTTTACCTTTTAGGTCATTTTCCGTTTTGATTAACCCTGTTTTAAATGTATCCAACTACCACGTGGGATGGGAGGACTCGCACCATAACAAACCTTCCGTTTATTATCATCGTCAAGACCTTAAACCCTTTTCTCAGAAGAGGGCTTAAACCCTATTCTCTAGGTCTACCCTCCAAAATTTTCCCTCTGTTTCCGCCGCTTACACAAAGTCTCCGGCACCATTTTTCTCGTTCTTACATCCCTCCCATTCCTCTTCCTTCACAAACCACCACAGCCCCCTATCACCGCAAAATCTTGGCTTCCATTTCCACTGTAGCATGCCCTTCAACTTCTTTTCACCGCCACACCTCCGTCTCCTTAAATCGTCTTCATTCCTCGTAACCCGGTTCATCATGAAATCAAACCCATCAGTATCAAAGGGAAACGAGGTTTTCACTCGGGTATTTCCTCACAAAATGAAGTACCAATCGTCCTCACCAGTTAAGAAATTAGGGCTCCCTAATCTGATAACGACAGCTCAATCCCAGTTGCAGTTTTCGACAAGGTCTTCCAAACACGGCTCTGAAGATCGGTCCGCTAAGAGCTTAATTGAAGATGAAGCTGAACTTAGTGACTGGGTTAGTGAATTGAAGTCCGACTCATTTAAAAAATCTCGTTTGTATAGCGAAAGCGACGATGGTGAAAACGATTGGAGAGGTGGTGCTGGTTCGACTGTTAAGAGAAAGCGAGAGGGTGATTCAGACAGAGAGAGGGGGACGCGGAGGAAGTAGGGGTTCTTTTAATGGTGATTCGAGGGGAAAAGGGCGTTCTGGTGGTGAATTTGGAAGGAGAGACGATGGGTTCGTCTCCAAAAGGGAGAATGGATTCGGAAATGGAAGAGGAGGGAGGGATTCTGGTAGTTCAAGAGGGCGAGGGCGATTCGGTGGTGAAGTAGACAGAAGAAATGATAGATTTTCTCGTGATAAAACAAGAGAGGATGATGGGTTTGTGTCAAAAAGAAGAGACGATAATTTCAATGGCAGGGGGAGAGGAGGTGGCGTAGGAAGAGGTGGTAAGAGCATGAGTAAAGCAAACTTGATGTCGTCTGATCAAGATGAAGATGATGAAGAAGAGGAACATAAGAACATAAGCAGTAAGTTCAGAGAATTGATCAGCGATGAAGATGAAGATGATGATGATGATGATGATGATGATGATGATGAAGATGAAGACCTCGATGATGATGTTGAGGTATTAGGAAATGGACATTCAGTGAAAAATGTTGCATCGAGTTCACCTAGAGCTTCACCTGATGGAAGCGAATCCTATCTGAGTGGAACAAGGTACTTAGATTTTGTATGATACTGAGCTTATGTGATTAATTTTATATATTTTCTACTTGTTTTCATCATCAAGTAATAATTGATCTTCCATACATTCTCTACAGGTTTGATCAATGTGCAGTTTCACCACAATCTCTAAAAGCAATTAAGGATGCTGGCTATGAAAAGATGACTGTTGTTCAGGAGGCAACACTTCCTGTCATTCTTAAAGGTTCGTATTTTAAAAAAAATATAATGTAAAATTCAAGAAGTCTAAATACTTCATTAATTCAATTAATTAGTTTTGTTTTTAACTTTTCAGGGAAGGATGTTTTAGCTAAGGCTAGAACAGGAACTGGAAAAACTGTTGCATTTCTTGTAAGACTATAATTTAACATCTTTTATAACTTTTGTGATCTTAACATGTTTATAAAGAAATCTTGATTTTATAAAATACTTTAAATTTCAGCTCCCATCAATTGAAGTTATTGCAAAATCGCCACCTGTCAGCCGTGATCAAAAGCGTTCTCCAATTCTTGTCCTTGTCATATGCCCTACTAGAGAGCTTGCAAGTCAAGCTGCCATGGAAGCCAAGAAATTACTAAAATACCATCCTTCCATTGGTGTCCAAGTTGTCATTGGTGGGACCCGCCTTGGTCTTGAACAAAAACGCATGCAAGCAAGCCCATGCCAGGTCATAATTTCAAAACCCCAAATTCTCAATTTATCAAAAGTCATAAGCATTTTAAATTTTAGAATATTCATAAAAAATGTTTATATTCTCAGATCCTTGTTGCGACACCTGGCAGGCTGAAAGATCATATTGAGAATACTGCAGGATTTGCGACTAGACTAATGGGCATCAAGGTTTTAATTCTTGATGAAGCTGATCATTTATTGGACATGGGATTTAGAAAAGATATTGAAAGAATCATAGCAGCTACACCAAAACAAAGACAAACACTTCTATTTTCCGCCACTGTCCCACCTGAGGTGTTTTTTTTTTTTTTTTTTTTTATAAATCTTAATCTAGTTTTTATAATTGAATAATTTCATACAAAATTATTTTCTTGAAAAAGGTTCTCAAATTTAGTTTTTTGACATGAAGGTACGTCAAATTTGCCATATTGCTTTAAAAAGAGATCATGAATACATCAACACTGTCCAGGAAGGTAGTGAAGAGACCCATACACAGGTATATATATTATGATTTATTAAATATTAAATATTAATATTCTTTTCTTAAATGTTTGTTACAAAATTCATTGAACTCAATGACATTTATCTTGATTGTTTTTTAGGTCCAACAAAAACATTTAATTGCTCCACTGGATAAGCAATTTTCGATACTGTACACTCTCCTAAAAGATCATATTGCAGATGATTCTGACTATAAGGTTTGATTTCTTGGATCTTGTGAAAATAAAGAAAAGTCGTCCATTTTTCTTATTTACACATGTTTTCAAGTGTATGATGTTAAAGTTTATTATATATATTTAAATTCAGGTTCTTGTGTTTTGCACGACTGCAATGTTTACAAAACTTGTTGCAGACTTACTTGGTGAGCTGAAGTTAAATGTGAGAGAAATTCATTCAAGAAAGCCACAAAGTTATAGAACTCGAATTTCAGATGAGTTTAGGAGATCAAAGGGTCTTATTCTAGTAACATCTGATGTGTCAGCACGTGGGGTCGATTATCCAGATGTCACACTTGTCATTCAGGTATAAGTTTAATCAAAATTGTATTAAAAATGACATATGATTTTGGGAATTAATACAAAAAGTGTTGAATCTTTATAGGTTGGGGTTCCAGCTGATAAAGCTCAGTACATTCATAGGCTTGGAAGAACAGGGCGTAAAGGGAAAGAAGGTGAAGGGATAATAATGTTAGCACCATGGGAAGAGTTCTTTTTGTCTACTCTTAAAGATTTGCCAATTTCAAAAGCTGTTTTACCTTTAGTGGATCCGGATACAAAGAAAAAGGTGAGTGTTTTAGATCTTTAATTTTGACTTTTGTGAAAGTCAAAGGTTGACTTTGGTGAGTTGGAAAATTGTTACAGGTGGACAAGGCATTGTCTAATGTGGAAATGAAGAACAAAGAATCTGCATATCAGGCATGGCTTGGGTATTATAATTCAAATAAGACGATTGGGAAGGATAAATATAGGCTAGTAGAGCTTGCTAATGAGTTTAGCAGAAGCATGGGGCTTGATAATCCTCCTGCAATTCCAAGACTTGTTCTTGGTAAAATGGGGCTCAAGAATGTTCCAGGATTGCGATCTAAGTAAAATTTTGAGTATCAATTTTGCAGTTTTATCGAAACAATCTTTTGTATCGAGTTGATTAATGAAAAGTTTTCAAGCTGTCAGTGGTTCTAGAGAGCATGATATCGCTTTATTAGGAAGAAAGGAGTTTGTGATTGTTATAACATACTTATTTTTTTCCTATAGAAATTACAAGTTTTGATTGGGTGTATGTTTTGTTTTGTTTTGTGAGGATGTTTTACAAAGTTTATAAAAATAAAGCCAATACTTTGATTGATATAAAATTAGCTTTCCAACAATTGTATCTTTCAACCAAGAATATTACAAGATGAAGTACGTAAGTCGAGATTGGTGACTTATGAATCTACAGATTGTTTACAAAGTTTATAAACACTAAAGCATTCAACAAAACAAGTATTCAAAACTAAACTACGACTTCTTCATTTGATTCTTCTATTATAAATGATACACTGAACACTGTCACAAGAGGGTCAAAGGAAGTTAGTACAAACTTGTGTCTTAGCGTACTACAAACCCTAACCAATATCATCATCATGTCAAAACCCCAGCAACAAAACGTATACCAGGGTTTATGGATACCCTAAAAATATTCTACATCTCAAGAAAAAGAGTTGTATACGGAAATAAAAGTACATAATCATCATCAACCCCACAAGGCAATGATGCAAAATTAAAAAAGTAAAAGAAATTAAAAATAGAAAAATGAAATCTTCCCAACAACATACCACCACCACAACCCCCAACTTTGGCAGTTTACACACAAGCCCATTATGGCAATCTGCTTGTTACCTTTGGACCAAAGAGACTTTTCTGTGTGATGATATTGTGAATTTTGTTCTTGTAAAGCTCCAGATGGAATCTTGATGATCACCTTTGGCAAATGGCAAGTGATGTGGCAGATGAACAGAATCAAATCCTCCTGTTGTCAACAATACAAAACCTTCATATTCTAGTTTCCTTAAAGAACTGAAGCTATTAATTTCCTTCCATTTTGCAAAGGGCATTTTAGACAGTTGACACATAATCAAAGTATTTTCCTTATACTCTCAAAGTTCATTATAAATGATAATGGGAAAAATACTACTTCATGACCTAAATGAGACTCTACTGAAAAAAAAAAATCAAGATTAACTTTATAGCAAAATAAGTTACCTTTGATGATGTGGCGATGAAGGCCGATCTGGTGAAGGCCGTTGTTGTTGTTGTAGAGAAGCCCCATATAACCGATTTTCCTCAAATGCCCCTCTTCTTTCACGACCTCCCTCATTTATCTGTGCCTGTGATTGCTGCTCATTCACACCAGAAAACCCAACAGGACCTATCGACCCAAATTCAAGCTGTTCATTATGTGAACCATAACCCGTATTATTATTGTCATACGAATACACCATCACCATTGAAGGAACACTTGACCCATTGGCAGATGGGTTTTGATACATCCCAATCCCATGACTTGAACTCCCATGCAAAGGACCATTTTGTGTCTGATATGTAGCAAATGTATCATGTCTATACGATGAATTCACCGATCTTTCTGCCCTAAACGAGTTTGATTTATCCATTTGGTTACGACTATGATTCCGGTTTGAGCCTCTTGATTTTGAATTCCCATTCCAGCTACCTTCATTATGATTCTCACTTCTATCATGGTTGTAGTTCCCCTTCTTGACCCTGAACTATGTCTCTCCCTTACAGACACCTTCTGTAAAAAAAAAATTTACAAACTTCTCAGAAAACAAGCAACATAAGGAGTAAAAAAAGAAGGGTAAAAAGGTAAAATTGTCTTACGGGATTTGGAAGATAAGTCCCGGTCCCGCTACGGTATCTTGGAAGATCTTCACGTTGTTGGTAAACATTTGGCGGTCTGGAAACGGATTGAACCGGTGGTGGTGCTGCAACCGGGACAATGCGGGGACCGTAGTTCATGAGCTGAGTCACTATATTCATATTTGGTAACGGTCTTCCCGGGCCATCCCATGGGACCCGCCCCTGTAAGTAAACCGGTGGGACCATGACAGGTGAAGGGTATACCGTGGGCCCGTGCTGACGTGGACTTTGACAATACCGACCGAATTGTAGATTCTGCCAATGGCTGGCAAAGTCACTGTTGAGGATATCAGATGGTGTTTCACCAGGAGCTGCTCCTCTCAAACCATCTGGATTGAATTCCTCTGATTGGTTGTTGATGATGTCACCATTCTCAATGCTGACATCATCGCTGAAATGACTGGTTGATGGATCAGATGGGCTGGGTTGTGATGGGACATTGTAGAATGGAAGCATTGTCAGGAAGGGAACGGGTGGGCCCGTGGGGTAAAATGTCAAGGGCATTGCTCCGGAATTATCCATCATTCTTTGTCTGTTATGGCCTAGAATCATTGGAGCTATAGGGACAATCGAGTCATTTCCACTTGTTTGAGCCAGTTCATATCTTGGAGCATGCATCGAAGAAGACACAGACTGAGGTCTATCTGTTGCCTCAGAGTCCATGTCATCGTCTTCGGACTGGTGTGCTGATGCTGACGTGGACTCAAACATGGTCTTCCCTTTTACATATCCGCTCGATGACTCAGCAGAGACAATTACCTTTTTCCCACGTTTTTCCTTTTTGGAGACTGTTGAACTCTCGTCCCATGAACTTTCTGATGATGTTTTACTTTTTAAGGAATTACTGTGAGCAGCTGATGAGAATCTTGAACTTGTAGTTCTTTCATCATCATTTTCTACTCTATTCTCTAAATGATCCGAATGTGAATGTGAATGTGAATGATCATTGTTGTCCCTCATGGGCCCACGTTTTTCTTTGTTATACTTCTGTTGGCTTTTCGTTAATCCACCGGATCCACCCACACGCCGAGGCGGAGGAACATAACTTAACCCTGATGAGGTTGACTGTCGCTTATCATCTATTGGAACAATTTCAGAATTCCCATCTTGTCCCTGCCAGGAATCATGTTCATGATCAATAGAGTTGATTTCCAGAGAGTTAAAATTATCATTCACGGGTTCCATTGGATCTTCGGAATTCGTCATTCCGATTCCAGAAAAGAAATGGTTTAGTTGAGGTGAAACGAGGCCATGGGGATACTGCATTCCTGCATATGCAGGATCAATCATGGGAAAGTTTGTGAAATTCCTTTGTGCGTATCCCATTCCTGCTAGAAAAGATGGGGAGAATGGAAATGGTAATTGACTCATTGGCATATGAACTTGACCATTGAATCCATGAAGCCCAGAAGATGCCATCATGTTCACAAGATCTTGTTCTTCTTGATGCATTTGTTCACTCATGGAAGGTAAGCCTAAGCCAGAATCATGTTGATACAAACCTGAACCATTATTAGAATCAACAGAAACATCAATGTTTTTCCTCCTGTTACGATAGCTACTATTTGATATTGATACCCCCTGTGTGTCGGGGCAGTTTGGGGATTTGCACTTTCAGATGCTCTGTTAACCCTACCTTGAGAAGAAACATCATTGTATGTATCTGTTAATTCAGGACTGGATCTTGTTCTAGCAAAAGGAGACCTTTGAATGTCATTGACCAGTTGACCAGATATCAAATTCTTCTGTCCTCTGTTTAAGTTTCCATGACCCTTTTGGGCACGAGGAGCTGCAGTAACATCAGGGTAGTTTGGGGTTTTCCGGTTTCTGACTGACGAGATGAATTGCGGGAACGGGTGTCTTCAAACTCACTCTCACGGCCAACAGAGTTTTTGAATTTTTTTCCAGTTGAATTGATCTTTAAAATATCAGTGAGAGGTTGACTTTCAGATACTGAAGTCAAACAACCAGGTGCATCAGGACGAATGCCACTGCCATGTCGTTCCCACGTATTGGTAAAAAACTGATTTACCTCAGCAACTAGATTTTCTTGAGGGCAATCTAGTAATCTTGCCAGCCTTTTAGCCCCAAAAGCAAAGGCACTGCGTATTCTGAAAAAATTACCTGAAAGCAAGAGATTACATATATCATACAACATGACAAGAACTTCAAGTTGTTTTCTTCTTCATATAATTCACTAAGAAGCATTGTGTATACTTATAAATGTTAAGATGATAAAATAAAAAAATAAATACCTTTACTGACACTGCGTCCAAGATTATTGCTAACACGCAATGGATCAATAACATTAAAATGTTTGGAAACAAAAGTTTGGCCTTGGTTGTCCTGACCACCTGGAAAAACAGCATACACAGAGCTACAAGCATCAAGAAATACTTTGTTCAACAGCAATTCTCCACTGTCCTTACGAGGTGGCTCAGCTACAATTTTATAAGAATACATCCACATCAGCATAAAGTCAAATGTCGACTTCTGTCAATTATATTATCGAGAAGAAACTAGAAACATCATCATACACTATTACCAGTCACATCTGGAAGTGAGCTTATTGGCACAGGACCCCATAAGCTAACACAAAAGTTTTCCCAGTCGAAATTACTAAAGAACTCCAGAAAACGGTAAAGTACCTGAAAATGCAATGAGAGCATTCAATGAACAAAGGTTCCAAATACATATCTGTAAAGGGTATGTTTGTAAATTGTATGTTAAACAACCTCAAGAGGTCCAGCAAAAGAATTGTTGAAAACATGGAATATGTAAAGAACCAAGTCTCAAGGGCATAAGTTGATATGAGCCCATGATGAGCACCAAGTATGCGGCTCTCATAATAACACCAGGCTTTGATCAGTATAATGCTCCTCTTAAACAAATGGTTCTGGTTTATCAGATTATCAACCTCCTCAAGAAAGCAAAGGGTACACAATCCTCCAAGCTGATTAAAAGATATATCTACCACAATGTTTTCAACAAGGCACTTTATAATCTTCACCTGTAGTTAAACAAACCATAAAGAAATCAGCTTGTAAACAAGTTGAGAAAAAAGATTGATGGCTAGTAAGAAAGTAGTGTTAGCTTACTTCTGCTTGAATGTATTGAACCTCCTTCACATGAAATTCTGCATTTTCATTTTTCTCCTCGATCTCCAACATATCACGAACTTCACTCGCCCATGAGTCCTTCAAGTTTGCACTGTTACTGAAGGCTGTTAAGTCAATATCTCCATCAGGTAGATACGTTTTAAGGGGTACAGACCCAAAAGTAAAAACCTGCAACACAGAAAGTAATCAGATGAAGAAGCACAGTAATTAAGAAAGGAAACGAAAATGATGAAGAAGCACCTGGCAGGGGAAGCACTTCATAATAAGTCTTTGTACATAATCAGCGACAGCATTCCTTCGTTCTTCAGATGGCTGATTGGGTTGAATGCAGGAAATAAGCTCTGCAGTTCTTTCCTCGGCTTTCAACCATCGAACTGAATCTAAACTCTCTAGCAACGGACCTGCATTGGGCAATAGCCCATTTGGCGATAGGCCGCCTCGGGGCTGTGACCATTCCTCATGGTCGCCCATGCAAAATAACTCTATGCTACCCAAAATTCCAGGCGATTCAATCCCCCAAGTCGAAGTTCAAAACTTGTTGATGTCCCCAAAATTTTCAAAAGGTTTGATTGCAAAACGTGACGTAGTTTTCAAATCACAAAAACATGTAATTGCATATGAACATATAAGCACTAAAAGTGTATGAGCAACCCTAAAGAGATGATACACTGAAGGTGGGAACTTTGATTTGAAATGAATGGCAGAAAAATTTGTCAAAAGTAACAAGGATTCCTTTCTCCACCACAAACCCTAAAAAGGGATCCCCTACGAAGAGAAACTACTCGGGAAGCTCAAATAATACGTAGAAAATCCGATCATAAAGATCGGTAAGAGGATTGTCAACAAAACCCTAACACGAAAAAAGGGTTATATTCGATGACAATCAATATGGAAATCAACGAGAAATTTCAAACAAATATATAGGATAAAATTTACGATGTCGCTTGGAATTATCAGTAAGAATCATTAATCGAAGAAATAGATAGAGTGTGTGTGTTTGGTGAGAGCGCCAATTTTGAGGGTTTTCTGTGTGTTGGTAAAATCGGATATATAGAAAGAGAGAGATTAACGTTGCGAATTTCTGGGGTTTTTTTATCTGCAAAATTGAAGTAAAGGGTTTTAAACTGCAATTGGAAATTTGGGCAAATGATGAAAATTGATGATCGCAATCTGGGAGAAAATGGAAACTTTTGCAAGTATACACAAAAGAAAAAAATATATATATTTATTTAAAAAAAGTTACAATATAATCGAAAATCAAGAAATTGTACTATATGATTTAGCACAATTATGGCTGAAAAACATGACGATTAATCGCGTGGTAATTGTTATGATAGAACCCTAATTTGTGCATCCTATTGGGCCCAAGAATCCATAACTCGGAGCCCAGACTTTTTTTACTTACGTATATGTATATATCTTCATTTCGAAACGATAAAAATGCAAAATGAAACATATATACAATCATAACATGAAAACTTGCAACTTGTATGTCAAAATGAAATTTAACCAACTAATAATATGTTTCATTATATATGAATTTTTTTTTTTGAGGTAACCTTATGAACACATAAGGTGCATTTTGTGCATTTCAGATTTTAGTCACCACAAAATATATGTTTCAGCTTTTTGCCATAATATTTTGTGAGGTTGGCTGGTCCGAAACCACCGACTTTCTCCACCGATAGTCTTCTTCCACAAAAGACGTTTACATATGTGCACCGCCACATATTGCTTTCATTGTTTCTTTCATTTCTCTTTCCCATATGACTACGCATCAACATAGTTAAATCGATATTATTCTATTCCATGGACTCCCCTGAAAAACATCGACGTTTTTCCCGTTCTTGCTTTGTTTCTTTTTCATTCAACTTTTAATTTCTAAAAAAAAAAAAACTAATCTTAGCCACCACCTCTAATCTTCACCACGAGTAAGCCACCACTCACCGATCACTATCATCTCCATCGCACCGTTCAATCAACCATGTTTGCCCTGCCTCCCAAAATTTGTTCCCTTTTCTGTGTACTCGATTGAATTGAACCAGTATCAAACCATCCCATCTTCCATCAGCCACCACCTCCAAGAACATCTCTTCTACACCCTCTAAACTATCATCTGAAACATTTATTTTACTTTTTTTTCAAACACCGATACATTGATATGGTTCACAAGTTCATATGTTCTTTGACAGATTCAGATCTTCACAGGTTTGAATTATATATTTGTTGACTAATTGATTTTCCGGTTTTAGTTTTTAATGGTGTTTGTTTTTTGACTTATTTCTTATGTGCAGAGGGTTCCCTACGTTTTGGGTGTGGGTGTACTTTCTGATACATGACGTTTATTCCTCAACTTGATCGTTTACATGTTTCGAGGTTCCTCCCATATTAATCGGTTCCTCGAATTTGCGTCTACTCCGGTTTCGTCGACTACTTGGTATGCTTTTTTACTCCTTTTCTGCCTTCGATTGTTTGGTTTTTGATTCTTACTGTTGTGTTTAAGGTTTTTATGCTTGTGTTGTAACGACCCGAATTTTCCCACTTTGCCATTGATGTTAGTTCCGTTATATTTTCATGTTAAGTTATTTTTTCTATTGATTTAACTTTTGGGGGCTCAAGTGTAAGAAATGGTCACTTGATCATGCATACATGTCATATAGTTATTTCTACACACTTTGAGGGCCTAACATGAAAAATTGGCATGTATTTGTTCTCCACTTAAACCTAATCCAAGATTTATCAACCATTTGCAACCAATAAACCCTATTCTAAGCCTCCTTCTTGTTGAGAGAGTGTTCTAGGATTCTTGCATTTGGTTGTGAGTTTAAGTGAAGAAGGAAGGTGAATCATTGGTGTATTTGGTGGACTCTTGGTGGGACTCTTGAAGCTTCTCCTTTAGCATCATCTTGGTGATTCATCTCTAGATTTCCAGAAGGTAAAGACATCTACCTTTGATTCGTTTTGTTGCCCTACAAACCACACATAAGAAAGAACCTTGAATAATGCAAAATTCTTGGTTTTGGTGTTTTAGTTGGTCCCATTCTTGTCCCTATCAGTCTAGTCACTTAGAAATGGTATTTAGGGGTTAAGATCACCACAATAGAGGTTTTGATCAGACCCAAACGAAGCAGAATAGGGTTATCAATCGATGATCAAAATTTGTAATCGGTCAGTTCTCACGATGTGCGCGTCTATTTGCCACGTCGTGACGATGGTACTTTGATAATCTGGGACCGCGTCTGATTCATGGCCACGACGTGAACGTTAAATTGCCACGTCGTGACGATGGGGAAATTGGTTGGTCAAATCTTAACGGCTATTTTGATCATGACGTGGACATCCTAGCGCCATGACGTGACGATAGAAAAATGATCAGGCTAGAATCACAATGAACATTGGGCTCACGACGTGACATCGTATTGGCCACAATGTGAGACATGATTAAACATAACCATTTTTATTTTGTGTTCTATTTTTTATCAGTTATTTGTGTAATCTTTTAGGGGTATTAGAGTACTTGCTTGAAGGTGATTTTTCTCTGTTCATAGCTTCACATAAATTGGACTAGAGGTGAGTCATTTATTGTGGTGATTTAAGCACTTGTTTGGAAAGATAACATGCACCTATACTTATGTTGTTGTAAAATTGATTTTTTGTGATGTTATAAAGTGAATAAAATGAGATAAATGCAACCTGGACATGTGAAGTTATATTGATACAATTGAATTTAGGAATCTTTGGTATGCTAGAATTCTTAAATTAATTATGTGATGCAAATTGAGAAAAGTTAGGGCCTTGCTAGAAGTGAGGATTAATTGTGTGGTTAAAATGTGATGATATGCATGTTATATTTTTATTTTGTTAAACTTAAATGAAACTAGGATATGCATGTTAGAAGTTGTCTTGTTGAAAGGTGTATCTCTTTACATGCTATTAATTGATGCTAGTAGTATTTATGTGAATATACATTTGATGTGTGACTTGAGATGTAGTATGCCATGGATTAACTATGATAATAATTCACTAGCATTATTATATAATAATATTGGTTAGGTGTGTGTTTTCCCCATGTGATAGGATTAACTAATTATACAATTTAATTAAAACAAAATAGGCGAAACCAAGGTTGTAAAAATCGCTTGACGGTAGCTCGACGGTTGACTGGTGTTAATGGATTAATCGGTCTTGGTGGGGATTAATCGAGGATTAATCGGAGACCATATATTATTAATAAAATATTAAAATTAATTAAATATTAATATATCTTAAGAAAAACAAGTACTTCAAAATTAGAAAATAAGAAAAATTGTAATTTGGAAATCTAGAAATACGAAAATATGAACATTTTGGTATAATATTTGAAATTTTGAAAATTTGAAAATTTTGGAGTAAAAAAAGACAGTTGGTTTTTTGAAATTTTTAAAACATTTTTTAAATTTTTTTGACCTTTTTTTGACTTTTTTTCGACTTTTTTGACTTTTGTTGACCGATTAATCCCGTCAAACCCGATTAATCCTAAATTTTCGATTAATGCCCTAATCCTCGACGGTTGGAGAATGCCAAGCGATTAATCCACGATTAATCGCCGATTAATCCCGATTTCTGCAACCATGGGCGAAACACATAGTGGGGATAAAATGGTGGTAACCTAACTTAGGTACGCGCCCTTACGGGATATTGCGATGGAAGCATATCGTTGGAAGAGAAGAGCCTAAGCCAAGTCAATGTCGAATGGTTTTCTCGATAACCATATCGAAGCATAGTTCTGGTGTACACCGGGTACTGGGATTAGAATGATGTTGGCTATTCTAGGACGCCAGATCAAGCATCACGTTGAGGTGTATGTATGCTCGTGGAGATTCCAAATACCACCCTCAAAAGACAACACATTGTGCTCGTACACACAAAGTCGGAGTAGTGAACACGGAGAACCAGGGACATTGTTACGGGTGGGAGTCGCGCGCCCATTTAGTGCAATGGGTCGCCGAGTCACGTTAGTAGCGAACATGGTCTTTATTTGGGGAGTTGTAGCAATTTATTATACCCTAGTTAGCGAGAGAGATTTAATAGTAATTATAGAGAATCAAATAAATTAATAATTATTGCGACGAAAAGAATATCTGGATTAATATATGCAATAATATGTTAATAATTAGTGATGTGTGTTGCATTGATTAATGTGATTCATGACTCGGCATAGTATATGTGTATGGTTTGTTTCCATGCATATATGCTTGAGATTGACTCACTGTGCTAATGTTGACACTTGTTTCTTGTATGTTGTTGTGGCTTTTGCATTGGTATAAGTAGCTTTACATTGATGGGATGGTGAGGTTAGGTTCTTTTGGTAGTTATAGTTGTTTATGTTTCTAGTGACGATACGAGTTTGAGACCTGTCGTGATGTGTCATTTACTTTTGGTTTTGATATTTGTTTTGGATTGAACTTTACAACTTGAATTATGATTGGTTTTTGTGAAATATTTTCAAGTAACACTGGTGGTGTTTTCTTAATAAGACTTCCGCTACATTTTCTAATATAAATTGTTTTTTTTTAAATTTTTTTGGTGGAAATCACGTTGTTACATGTGTTGTATTCGATTGTTAAGTTTGTATCTTTCTATTGTCTGCTACTCTATTGTATACTTGCTGTTTAGGTTGATCTGGTAACACTCACAATCGATGCTCCTATTTTGGCTTTGGGTAGCCTTTCTTATCTTTGGGTTACCCTTGATGTAGCTCCTGGGTTTTTGGACATGTTTATTCTTGCTTTTGTTGATGAATTATTCAGACCTACACACAAAAAAGGTGAGTATTTTATAGATTCAATCTCCTTAATACTTTTAATTTTTTATTCTTTTTTTTTTCATTATCAGTGTTTGTAACATGTTTTAATCATAAAATAATGGCGTTGTCAGTTTTTTTGTTAGGAAAGAAGTTGGGTGATGGAGCTTTTGGTGTTGTTTATAAAGTTTCTTGGTGTCAGAAACCATCTGCTAAGGTACCCACCACATGTTTGTAGAAATGCCTCATTGAACTTCATTCTTCTCTATAAAGATAAAGTAACTTGAAAAAACCATGTGACCTATTTCTTTTCTCAGGTTCATCATATGTTAATTAAACACTAACGGTTAAATCGTATGTTGTTATTTCAAATATTTAAGGAGAAGGTTCTTCATTTATTCGAATCCATATAGGTATCACAGAAATAAGGAAAATAAGGTTGTTTTAATGTTTTTGTATATTACAATGAGGGACGAAATAGGAATTTCAATCAATGA